AATTTTAGAATAATAAAAAAAAAATTCATGATGTGATTTCATATGGTAGCATTTACACTAAATTTTGCGTATACATATATATATATATAAGACTATTAAAATTGGAATAAAATATGCAGACATAAATATGTGATATAGTGATGATGGGGGTTGCAGACTTTATGTAGGGGCACACAAAGGGTCAAAGACACCCTTCATTATGTATATAACCTACAAATATATAAACATATGTATATCCTACTATCAGGAGGAATGTGACAGGTCTCCTCTTCTTTATTTATTGTAATAATTGTTATTTCAATTTCTTGTTAGGCGAGAGACAAAGTACACTGACCAGTACAAAAGGCTGTAGAGAGAAAGAGATTGATTTTGAAAGCAACAATAAACAACGAAGTGTTTGGGTTTGTAGACATGTGAAAGAAAGGAAAAAATACTGTAGACTGTAGTGGGTTGGAGCTTTTAGGGAAGGGGAAAGATATATATATATACACACACACACACACACACACATGTATGTATATATACATACATATGACTCCAAGTAAAAAGGACAAGCATATATTAGCTGTGGTCCATAGTTAAAAAGAATTAAAGAAGGGGGTGGTGGAGTGGGTATTTTCTGATTAAATCAAAGAGGGGGGTTTTAGGTAGCAGTAGTAATATGTATATACAGTATATATATATGTACAATACGTTCATACATAGGATTACAACTTTCAAGCCTGCTTTCCCCACATGCTCCTATTTCTCTCTCTTTCATTCCCAAGAAAAGTTTGGGCAAAGGCATGTCTCTTTAAAAGCAGAGAATCTATCCTCTTTTTGAGTTTTTTTTTTTTCAAATTTTAAAAAACTATTATTGTAAAATACACTAATATTAAGTTTTTCAATATTTTTAACAGTTGAAAACTAAAATGTTATTCATACCGTAAACTGTAAACTCACTCAGATTTACAGGCAAGCCTTTTTCTTTGTTTCCAATTCCAACTTCTTCCGCATAAATGATCTAACCTGTACTCCTAGTCCTTATATTGTATTATATATATATATATATGTTTGTCAGGTACATGACTCATGCTTCTTTTATCGTAAGATCACAAAGGGTATCCTTTATTTTCTTTTATGTATGTATGTATGTATGTATGTATATATATATATACACATGTGGGTGTGAACGGGATTTGTGGTTGTCGAATTGGAAAGTTTCACTATCAAGCTGCTGCTGCTGGAAAGAGCAGAAGAGAAAAGGATCTAAGTTCCTTCAAATATTTCACTGGATAGTTAATTGACCTGATTAACGCTCTGACATAGAAATTAAAGATGGAGCAGTGAATGCACAAAAAGAAGACAAAAATGTAAAATATATAAAGAGAAAAATCTCATAATGCAAGTAAAAAAACAAAAAACAAATCATTTCCAAGTAGCTTAATGCAATGAGAAGAGCTTATCTGATACCTCTGATATGACAAGGAGACATCAGTTTTTTTGTAGCCTGACTTTTGACTGAATCCCATCCCAATACAAACTCATCAACTATTAGCTACCTAGCTACTCAGCTACCAACATCTAAAATAACACCTAAAGCCTTTATTACATACTAATATTTAATGGCCTCTTTGGTTCCCCTCTGCAAAATTTATATATTTTTTTTTGCTTTATAACGATAGCCATGCAGTAGCAGTCCTCCTCCTGGAAAGAACAAATATATATACATATATACGTATGTGTAAACACTAGCCTTATAAGACCCTACAAACATGGGTCTTGAAAGAGGTGAGAGGAAGAATTTTTTTTTTGTTTTGAATAAAATTTTCTGTATAGGTAAACACCAACCTTATATGGAAGGTCAAGAGACAAACTTCACTGAGCTTCTTTCTATCTCTCTCTCTTCCTCTCCTTAAATCATGCTACATGCTATATACTTGCCAGCACAGTAGGATTTATAAAGTAAGATTTGGATATTATCTAGATAGAGAAGAAAGTTGAGTCAAAAAGTTGGGGGGATTTCCAGAGACTAAAAGAGACCATGCCAAGAAAGGGAAAAAGGGAAATTTAAAACCAAAACAACCCTTTTTCGCTAAAGATCATGGAAAGGGATCCGAAATAGACAATTTCTAACTTGTAAGTGGTAAAAAGAGAAGAACAAGTATTTGCCAATCTCAACTTACCCATCACAAATATATTCTTGTTACAAATATTGGACATAGATGGACCCATCAAAAAGCTAGTCTCTGTCCTTGGATGCTCATACATATACATCATATTCATATACATCCAAAGCACATTGCATTATATGAGGCAGCCCCCTTGACAATATTCAATGAAATTTGACAATGGAAACATCCCAAAACCCAAGGTCCGTGTCGTGTAATTTTCAAATTTCTATGAAAAAAGGAATCGATAGTGTCTTGCAGGGTCCAACCCAACATGTTGACCGGACTAAGATTTTGTCCACTTTAAACTCGATATTCACCTACTAACTCAACTGTGACGATTCTCTGCTCTACCTCGCGGATGCAAATTTAAAACATTTGAAGATGACAAGCACATTTCAAGAACGAGGAACGAAAATAAAAGATTGAGAAGAAGGCACCTGGAAGACATTGGCAAGGGCAGGAGCTGCGGCGAGGCGGCCAGAAGAGCGAGAAGCATCGATGGCGACTTGGGTAGCTAAAGCTTCGAGAAAAGGCTCGGGCCATACCTCGTTGAGAGCACGACGACGAGAAGACGAAGGACCTTCGAAATCACCTCCTCTCCTACCAGGAACATAAGCACCGCCATTGCCGTCTTGTGATGAGGAGGAGGAGGAGGAGGAGGAGGAAGCAGACATGAATAATGAGGAGTGGGATACGCTATAAAGGAGAAGAAGAAATTGGGTAGAAAAGAACAAGGACAAAAAGGTGGGGATAAAGACACAAAGTGAGGGACCCAAAAGAGGGTGTTTGCGATTCTTTGATATGTGTGATTGTATATATATAGATACGACAATTTTGACCATGTATTTATAATCAATTATCTGCTTTAAAAAATTTAAAAATTTAAAATAAATAAATAAATAAATCACTCACAAGACATACATCTCCTGCAAAGGCGTTCGATATATAAATGTTTCATTTAGCTTATTAAAATATAATTATATTAAATCTTTTTTTTTTTTTTAAGAAATAATTAGAAAAATGTTAATGTATGACAGCAAGGGAAACAAAAATTATAAATGTTTTCGGGAGATTTAAATGTTCATGCATACAAATTACTTAAAACAATTTGGTTCGGAGTCGAATTAATGTAAAAACTTTACAACAAAACATATGTTTTTTTTTTTTTTTATAATTATTATTGGGAATTAAAAAGAAGAGTTACGACGTTGCTCTGCGTTCTCTGTGTGTATATAATTTGCGTGAGAAAAGAAAAGTTAAAAGATGAGGCGAGGCGGCGATTGATATAAAACTTTGGAGTGAAATATAGGATTCCATATTTATATAGATATAGATATAGATATAGGGAATATGCGTACGTATAGCATAGTTTCAGTTTGGGGAAGAGGGAGTTTGGTTTTTTCCTGGTTCCTGGCAAAGACGACGGGGAGTTTAGTTTCAGGTTGACACATGGGGGACCAATGGCTTCCCAACTTCACCACCGTTTTCTCAGCTTCAGCTTCAGGTGCTTTTTCAATTATAAATATAAAAACATCATCTCATTAAAAAAAATATATATATATATATATATTAAACTTTTTCTAAACAAATTTCTTATCAACTTTGACCTGCTACTCCCAACTCAAAATTACTGGAGTTAAAAAAGAAGTAGCTTGTTCGAATGTGTTATATATAAAATATAAGAAAAATAACATAAGATAAAAAATATTATTAATTAACATTTTAAACCACACCCATTCACAAAAACTTACCGCCCAATTCTCTTCAATCCAATACCTTCAATTTATATATATATATATATATATTTTTTTTTAAATATGACATTTAATCTGCTTTTTAACTTAAATATATTTTTTGAATATACTTACATTTGTACTTAAATTTAAATTAGGAGGGTACCTACATTCGAAGTTGTAGTATTCAAATTTGACTAATTATATTCGGAAGACTTGTTCAACTTCTCAATGCCCATAATGCGAATAAAAAAGTTCAACTCAAACACCATGTCCATGTGACTCTCATAATGGTCTTTAACTTAATTAATTATCTGTTTATTTTTTTTTTCTTCTTTTTTTTATTTATTTCAGTTAGAGTCAGAGGATATAATATATATATATATATATACACACGCACGCTGGCCACTAGACGACGCATGGATTAGGAGGAGATATCCCATATTATTATAATATTATTGGCAACCAACCATACTCAGGACCCTAAGTTTTTTTTTTTTTTTTTTTGTTCAGTTCGATTTTTCTGTACAAGGCATGCTCGACGGAAGATAGAGATAATGTTCACTTTAATCAACTATGTATGAATATAATATAATATGCAAAAAAAAAAAAAGATCCTATCTCAAATCATAAGAAGCTCTTACAAAAGGAAGAGAAATCATGAATCCCACTTATAATCAATATTCACCTCTGTTTTTTTTTAAATAAAAAATAAATTAATTAATTAATTATCATAAAATATTTTATTTTTACTTTAAAAAATATATATAATAAATTTATAAAATAAAAAAAAAATTAATTATTAAAATTTCAGTATCAAATTATTATTGACTTCTCTAATACAACTTTTAATAAACTTTTAAATTTAATAAAAAAGAAATAGGAGAGAAGTGTCAGAGGGCGTGGGGGGACGCGTTGAGGGAAGAGCGTGAGGGAAAGAAAGGGAGGAGGAAAGTACAAAAGAAGATATGGTGAAGAAGTGAGGGGGTGGAAGCTTTTTGACTCAAAACAAATGGGGTCTTGGGGGTTGAGTAAAAGCCCATGCCATGCTTCTGTCTTATCATGGATTCTCCTTTCCCATTTTTTTTTTTTTTTTTTTTTTTTCTTTCTTTCTTTCTATTTATTAGGGACAAATAAATAAATAAATAATTTTATTTTATTTTACATGAAAGGAAATTTGTATGAAAAAGAAAAAGTAGCATAAAAAATTGTGTATTTATTGTTTGGTGATTAAAGTGAACAGATGAGATGTTGTGATATGGAATGGGGGGGGGAAGGGGAAAGTACAGCATACGGTGTGTACAGCTATATATGGAGGTGCCTATAAATAGTCTGCAGTAAAGATACTCTGTATGAACAAAGATTGGGCAAAGTACTTTTTATAAACATCAATAAATCTCTCCCACCTACTCACCTCGACTATTCGTTCTTTTGGAGGGAAACTTCTTTTAATTTTTTTAACCAACTTCACTTTGCTCACCCTCGGCCACTTGATTAAAATACCAAATTTCTAAATCCCCTTGATTGACAGGAGGAAGTTGACGACGACCAATCATATAAACTAAGTCGGTGTATTTGTATAATTAAGTTGGCTAACACTTGATGATAACCAACTTCAAATATTTCAGCATCTGACAAAATAAATACTCTGTAAAGAAAAAAAGAAAGTAGGGTTTTGCATAATTGGGTTGGACCTCATCTCCTCCCTTTAAATAAAAATCAAGCCTACGGTATCCAACCCAACCAATCTGCAAACCCTATCTTTTGTTTGGTCCAGATTTACATCTAAGGCTCATCCATCACTTCCCAACAACCAATACTCGCCATGGGAGACGAGGAATCATTCCTTGTACCCCCTACTAATCTTATCCTGCAGACACGAATCAGAATGTTCCAAAAACCAATACTTATAATGCAATTTGTAACATTCTCAACCCTTGAATTTAGGCCCTACATTACATAAATTAATTTCAATAATAATAATAAATATTTAAGTTTGATTTCTTTTTTTATTTTTATAAATATACATTTTGTATATATTTTAAAATAGTTTTAAAAGAAACAGAGCAAATTGAAAATAAAAAATATCCAATTTGAAATGAAAAATTAAAAATTGGGGCAGAATTGTAAAAATAAAAAAAAGTGGCGACATAAGACAGCCACGTCAGCAGCCTGATCAGTCACCAAACGTCGCGTGGTGGACACGCCAGCACATGTTCCAGGCGGGAGGCCACTTGGGCAATCCACGTGTCAAGCGATCCAATAGCCTATATTCACCCCCGTGCGCACGAACGACCCATATTCATTCCCCCATTATATGCGATCGAGCAGTCCGCGTGCCTTCAATCAGACAACTAAGATCGGTCATTGCGGGCCCGAACGGACGACCCAGATCGAGAAATATGAGTATCTAAACTCTTCTTCCACCGAAACCCTATCCCTAGCCGCATGCCAGTTCGTCGGAGAAGAAGAAGAAGGGCGGTCGGAGGAGAAGCAGACCACCGTCGACGCCACATCGGAGACCCAAATTGACGCCAGTAAGTGCGACTTTATTTCGTTCGTCCCGTTTTTCCATTCTAAGCTACCAAAAACTCTTATTGTTGCAAGAAAAACCCAAGGAGAAGCGAGAAAAAGAGGACGAAGCTCAGTTTAGCCACCGTATCTAAAACCGAAAAACACTCTGACGAGCCCAAACCCTTTCCATGTTTCCTTTCATTTCTCGACCCTAGACCATCTAACATGTTTTCAGTGCAGTGTAACTGAAGGAAAGCCGCAACCGCGATGAAGAAATGGTGGAGCCCGGTGGAGCCAGAACATTAAAAATCCAGAACCACCAGTAAGTTTCAATTTTCTTTATTTTTCCACAAACAGACATTGCCAAACCCCAAAGTGAATAGCTTTTCCCCAGAACCGGCTGAAACCAGCTTAATTGAAAGGAGGATCTGCCGTAGAAGGCGAAATTGGAAAACACAGTGGCGCCGCCATGCCAAAACCCTAAGCAGGCCCCCGGTGATGTTTTTTGGCTCTTTGGGCTGGTTTTTGTATATTTCCTTATTTAATGTACGTTTTGATTTTAGCAAAAAAAATTCTAGAAATTCAGGAACCGAAAACTACCAAAAAACGTAGTGAAAAAGGTGGTATACGGACATCAATTCAAGATAAGAATCCATCACCCTTTCTCCTGTTACGGTTAAATTAAAGTCAATTAATAATGAACGAAAAATTTTAAATGGTTGGCGACCCCCTGATTAATTAAATACATGTTATCGATGGAATTAATAACTAGTCAATTTATAATTGTCTTTATCTTATTCGTGTTATCTATTTGTTGTTATATTACCTTAATTATTTTTCGTTACTTCGTTTTATCTTATTGTACTTTAATTTATCTTTTATTTTCTTGTCTATTTAGTTTACTCAAACTGTTTTTATTTTTATTCCGTTATACCAATTTACAACTAATGTCTTAATTACACTTATTAAACAATAAGGTTTTAATTTATATCATTTTATTAATTGATCATTTCGTTTTCTTGTAATTGCGAAATATGAGTTTTGCACGTATTTGGTGGCTAGATAGTAATGAAAACTTGTATGTGTAAGCAACGTTGTTAAATTAAAGGGCTTACTGGGTGTTATGAAAAATAGTATACAGATCTGGTACATACGGTAAACCCTACTGTGAATGTTAACCTAAGTTGAACGGGACTGAGAAATCCCATTCCGGAAGGGGTTGGGAATTAGTTTGATTACGCTCATTACCGGAAGGGGTATTGAAGCAGTGGTATGTTTGGCTCTCATTACCATACGGGGTATGGGGACGACCGTTTGATTAATTGAATGGATATTTAGTCCACGCGTAGTTAGGACCCCTAACTACATCGGTAAGTGAGTAAAAATGCTAAAGATTAACTACTGTTGGTCTTTTAGAATGCATAATGAGAATAACTATTTTGATTTTTATCTTCATAAATAGATTTTGGGAACTTACAAGTGAGTGAGAAA